TATACCCACCAAAGACACCAGTACCCAGAATACACCACCGAGGCTGTTCACTTTTGCAGTGTATAAAATTATTTCGTTTGTTTTGTGCTTTCCTAAGCCAAATTTATATTTGCTTTTTCTCACCGTCTCCACCAAACGTCAATAAAATTAGAGCATTCCAGCTATACAAATCACTAATCAATCCTTCAAGGTCGGTCTCAGTTTCCTTGGTTCTAGAGCAGCTTTAACGAAAACGTGGTCGCGGCACAGTCGATTTTACTCGGAATTTTTCGTTTGCTTTTTTTTTTTTAAAGGGATTGTTTGGTTTTGCTTAAAACGACTCTGGGGAGTACAAAGGGGGCTAGAAAGGGGGGGCAGGAAGAGAGGTTTCTCTAGAAATCAAGCAAAGTCGAGGTATTTGGAAACGCATTTTTTGGTAGTTTTTTTTTTAATTAAGGGGAAAAAATGTATAGATTCTAAGATGTTAGAAATAATCAAGGAAATGAAGATGTGACTGCAGCTGCACAGCACAGCGCAAACCAACAACCTCAACGTTGGGGGTGGGGAGGGGGTTGTGCAGACACAATTGTGGTCAGCTCAAGGGGCGGGCTTCATACACTCCGTAGAACTCTTTGCTGCATCTTCCTAATAGTTACCACCTTTGGCGTAGGAACTGTGAGCAAGCAGGTAAAGGGTGGAGAAAAATGGTAAGCTAGAATCTCACCCACCACCACCAAAACCATTAGAGGGAGCAAAGGGTTATTTTCGCGCCACAAAAGATGGAAATCCAGGGACTGCTCGGGGGGCCAATGAATGGAAACCAGCAAGAGAATCTGGCGGAGGCAGCCGACGGTGATAGGCTCCTTCTTTCCACCAATCGGACAAGAGGGAGAAGTCCCCCGCCCCCTCTCCAGTCAGGGGCGGAGCTACTCTCGACGCCGGTTGCACAACTTGGTCAGCCTCGTGGAGCCCGGGAGCCCCGCCCCGGGGCCGCGTTTGCGCGCTTAGTGTATGCGACTCGCAGCCCCGCCCCACGGCGAGCTGAGGTACTGGGCTCTGCGAGGGTTTCTTGCCTTTTTCGGTGGATAACGAGCATCCTCTAAAGACTGGGAGCCTAGTAGACACTCGACGCTAAGGCCGGAGGTGCGGGGTTGCAATCAAACACCGTCTGGTCCGTCGTGCAGCGGGGGAGGAGGAATTCAAATGGGAGCGTGCCGAGGGGAGACGACTGAGGCTTTCCCCGACGCTCACGTCCAACCGACCTTGCTGCTTCTCCCAGAGTGACCCGTGCGGAAGAGCTCGGGGGAAAGACGGTCCAGTGGATTCTCCGGAGCGAACATTCAACGAAGGATCAAGGATCCCGCCCTCTTTCTCGAGGAAGAGTCAGAGGAAAAAGGAAACCACCCATTTCATCTTCTGGGGCCCCATTTTAAATTTCAAACAAAAAGAATTGTAGATCCCGAATAAAGCCTCTCTCTGGTTTAAACAGATCAGAGTCCAGGGGAGCTACTGGAAAGAGCTAAAGGGTGTTTTAGAAACCTTCTAAGAGGCCCACACGACCTGGTAGGCATTGTGTGCCCATCCGCTTGATTTAGGCTCCCTGCTAGTCTCAAGCAAACCAGGAGGAAGGAGGGGTAAGAACAGGAAAGTCTTTTCCCCTTCCTCTTCCTGCACAGACTTCGCAGATAAAACCTGTGGATATAGCAATGGTAACCGACCTTCTCAACATAGCTTTTCTCCCTTCACATTACATTGATCCCTAAGCATTTTTATTGCTGTTAGGTTAGCAGATAAGGAGGTTGCAGCTGTCCAAAGAGTAAACAGGCTGCAGTTGGAAAAACAGCCGCAACTGGGATACAAGAGATGGGAGTCTTTTTTTTTCATGGAACAAACTAATCAACATTAATTAGGAGCTACAACTGTTTCAGGAGTCCTGGTGTGGCGCTGTGGGTTAATGTGCCAGACTGCAAAGCCGTTTGAATTGCATGGTTGGCAGTTCAAGCTCACCAGCTGCTCCTCGGAAACACTATCCAGGGTCGCTATGGGTCGGAACCAACTTGATGGCACTTAACAACAACAACTGTTTCAGGAGGAAATCTTAAGAGTAGCTCAAACAGTTCATTTTTTAATGAGAGATGCAATGAAATGAAGAACTTAGATTGACTTTATATTTATTCTTGAAATCTACCAAACATTTTTGTACTTAAAATACCAATAAAAAACAATTACTTGTGCTCTTTTTGCTGTTATTGAGTTTATAATATTATACTTAAGAGCTTGGAAGATGTAAAGTGAACTGGCCTGTATGCACAACCCTTTTTTGGTATCTGAGCTTATATAACGTGTATGTTTTTAAGGTCCTAGATGGAGTATCTAGTTTGTTACAATAATACACAAATTAAGTTCACAAGCGTTCCAGGAACATATTTCATCCAAACAACACACATTTGTTTTAAATTCCAGCTGTTAGATTTGTTTGATAGTGACAGACAAGCATGGGCTAGTATTTATGGAAAATAAACAATCTAACCCATGCTTCATAAGTTAAGTATTTCCTTAGGTCAAAGTTTTAAGAAGAGCAAATGCAATCAATAATCCATAAGCTACTGTTCAATCGATTTAGGAAGCGAGCAGCACATAAAAATGTTCTTGTGGGAAATTATTAAAACCGTTAAGTGATCAACAGACAGGTTTGTAAATTTTAAAGTAAAATTTAGGAAAACAAATAATGTGAATTAGAAATATATTTTTTCCAATACCTTTTGATCATATGCAACAGGTAAAGTGAAAAATATGTACACTTTGAGCACATTCTAGGGAAGTCTTAAGGAAGAATACATTTTTCATTTTCTAGAACCATGGTTCAAAACAAAAAAAGGAAAAGTAAAAAAATACAATCTTTAAAAAAGTTAAGCCTAACCACAAACATCACCAAAATGTTCTTTCAATATAGGGCTAATATTACATAGTTCTAAACAGCTAGGTGTTGGTCTTTCATCTCATAAAGTAAAAATATTTCATTAATTTGAACGTGAATGAAAACATTGTTTATGTGAGTATGTTTGAAAGTTGGATTTCCTTGGCAGAGAAAATCTCCTGTTAGTGTAAGTGCATTTTTAAAATGGATGATCTGACACCTTCCGGTTACTAAATTAGACAAAATTATGAAATAAATTCCTTTAAAAAAACAAAAGTAATTATTCTATACTCCATGTAATAGATTCCTGTTTTTTTCTTTTTTAAAAGAATCTTCTGTCACTCATTTTTTTTCCCCTTGGAAATTAGTTTTAAATGTCACATACGATTTTGACAAAGAAGCAAACTACCATCTGATTGTGATTGTTTAACATGCTTCCAGTGTAAATCGCATTCTTTTCTCTGTACATATTTTTTTCTACCGGCATGAAAAATTGTTTCTATTTCTTTGCTACTGAGCATTTCGTTTACTTAAAAAAAAACTAACGTTTATTATATCTTTCCCATGGAATACCTGTTAAAAATATACCACAAATTTCTGATACCAATGAAGTCTTTGAAGACAATTATTAAACAACACTTTTGAGATTTCTACAAGCACCCCAGTACTGCATTCATTTCCGTATTCCTCGTCTCCAGTCCCCTCGTTCGTCGGCCTGGAAGGCTCCATCGTGCCCAGACCCTCCCCCACAGACCCTCCATTGTACTCCTTACACAGGGGAAATTATGAATGGCTCTCATGGCCAAATGCTGGCAGAAAAGAGGCAGGGACAATTTCGCAAGTGCTATTACCACCTAGGGGTAACGCTGAGAGGTCTTCCTGTTTTAAGAGTCTCAAGTCCGACAACTAGAATGATTTAAATACAAGTACCACCCCACCTACTCCTCCGTCTCTAGAAACTATAGGAAGAGATAGTTTCTTTTTAAGTATCGACTTTCCCCACTTCGACTTTTCTCCTCCAGCCTCCAAGGCCCTCAACGGCCCCTCCCCAAGCCAGAACCGCCCTACCCCCCACCCCTCCCCGCTTCCCTCTCCCCCTCCCCCATTGGTGGCCGCGCCCGCCCCCGGCCTCATTTATCCTTGATCCTTTTCTGAAGCGCGCAACCAATGGCAAACGCGAAGTCGAGAGCCACAGTGAGCGCAGGCGGAGGAGGTGTCGCCCAGACACCCGCCCAGGACATCGCGGACTCCCATCCCCCACTGCCCCAGTCCCGGGAGCCCGCGGACCCGCGCCCCCGCAGTCAAGGGCCCGGGAAGGGTGGGGAAGGTGGGGCGCTTCTACCCCCTCTGCCGCGCTCACCCACCCTACCCCACCCCACCCCCTCCTCTCTCTGCGTTTCCGCCCCTGCCAGCCCTGGGAACATGCAGACTGCTTTGCAGAGGTACACTTATAATGTCATCAAAGCCTCAAGGCTTGTTCATGAATGTGACTCTTTAGTTTTGTTAATCACCCATTTTTAAAAATCGAAAGATTTAAAACTCCAGTAGCTAGAGTTGAAGAACCGTCTAGTTAGCACTTCAACCCTTTTACTCATTAAAAAAAAAAAAAAATCAATTATTCCAGCCCCCGCCCCCCAGGATCCGCCCCGACCAGATAACCCTTTCTAAACTGCTGTAGTGACAATCAGCTCTTCGCGCTGCAACGCGTTCCGGCTGCGGCTCCTTTAGCATTTTTCCTCTAAGCCCCCCTCCTCAGAGTCCCTAGCCCAGGCTCGTCTCCCTTCCCCCTCTTCTTCCTCTGGCTCGCTCCCCACACGCCCCCAATTGAAGCGCTGGGATTCCTCACGTGAGACGTTGATTTGTAGTTTGAACACGTGGCTCATTCAAAAAGCCGGACACTCGGAGGGGATTTTTTCCGCCTCCTGCTCCTTCCCCTCTCCCCTCCCTCCTGCCAGTCACCCTTCAGGGTTTTTTTATGGGAGGCGGCGTCCGCCCTCACGTTGTGTGATATTTTCACAGTCCGCCGGCCGAAGCCAAAAGGGAGGAAGAGACAAAAAGTAGTTTTCCCCCACCTCCTTTCTCTCACTAATCCCGCCTCCTCCTCAGAGTTACGAAGACTCCTTGATGCGTTTGGGTTGTAGCAAGGCTTTTTCTTTTCTTTTTCATTTTTCTTTTATACCTAGAAAAGGAGAAGCAAGAACCTTAAGATCTCATTTTTCACTCCCTGTTCTCGCCCTTGGTTTTTTTTTTTTTTTTTTTTTTTTTTACCGTGTTTGTGCATTTTAAAGGCGAAAAAACGAGCGGAACAAAACCCTCGGATCCATCCATCATTGTGGGTGGTTTTAATTTTTCCGTTTTTCTCTTAGTTTTTTTAAACAACCAATCTTCACAATGAATAAATTGTATATCGGAAACCTCAGCGAGAACGCTGTTCCTTCGGACCTAGAAAGTATCTTCAAGGACGCGAAGATCCCAGCGTCGGGACCCTTCCTGGTGAAGACGGGCTACGCGTTCGTGGACTGTCCGGACGAGAACTGGGCCCTCAAGGCCATCGAAACGCTTTCAGGTGGGCTCCAGCCTGGCCCCACCGGGGCTCCTGTCCCAGCCGTGCGCCGCCTGCCCCGGCCAGCCGGGGGTCGGGTGTTGGTCAGGCCCTCAGCAGCTTCCGGGGCGTCTGCTTGGGGCCCCAGGCCCGGCGAGCAGCAGGCGCCGAGGGAGAGAGGCCCGAGCGCCCACTCGCGTGGGGCCGGGGTGCTCTGAGATTTGGCTCTTAACTCCGCTCCCCCTTTCTCCCCTCCCCCCACCGGCGTCTACCGGCGAAGGTGGACGCGCTGTCAATAAAGCCAGGGCCAGGGCTAGGAGGGGCGCGAGGAGCGGCTGCGGAGCCCGTGCGCGGGGATGGGGGCGCCGCCGTCCGCACCGACCCCCGTCAGCGCTGCCACCGCGCCCTACTCGGGCCCAGGCGCATTCCCTCGGCGTCCACACACCGGAATAGGGATCCGACTGCAAATGCCGGCTTCGCTTTACATGTCGTTTTTATGGCGCTGTGTTAGATGCCGGCCCCCAGACCCAGCTGTGGGAGAAAGGAAAGGGGCTTGGACTCTGCCGAGTGAGGCCCCGCGCTTCCTCTTGACCCTGCGGGAGGGACGCGGGTGCAACCTGGATTCCATTTTCACCCACACTTTGTTGCACGACTGAGAGGGCAGGTGGGCGGAAGGTGGCCAGTGGGAGCCCGCGAGGGGGCCCCCCGCTGCGGCTCTGGGCTGTCCGCGGCTCTTGGGGACCCGGAGCCTGACTGCGGCCTCCGCAGGGGCGGCGCGCGCGGGTCGCGGCCGGCGAGGGCAGAAGGTGCGTGGCGGGCGATAGGTTTGGTTTGGACGCCCAGCTGGGAACGTGCGTGGGGATGCCCTCTGTGAGTCTTGTCTTTCGGTGTCCCCTTTATTGACTCAATTCTGTTGCAGTAACCGGGCCGACCATTGCTTGCACTGAGCTGCAACTCTGGTCGTCCGTTCTTCTACCCGGCCGCTTCCGACTCTTTCCCGCTACCCCTTGTCCTTTTCAATCCCATCGCAAAGTGTTCCCGGCGGGAACCCTACTGGAACCTGGGTGAAAGGCCCGGGTACTCCCGTCTGAAGAACGCTAATGTAGTGCCCCCCCTTCCCCACCCGGTCCTGTTTGTTCAGGGAGGTGGGAGGAGGGCCGCGTCCATTTTGCGGGTATTGTGGGGTTGGCTCACCCCCTGAATGGTCAGGGGAGGCTTCTGGGGAGGGAATGGAATGTTACTGAAGTAGTGGGCCTGCTGATTGATCCCACTCCTCACGGATCTGTGAACTAGCACGCACGCGTGCGCGCGCGCACACACACACACACACACACACACATACATACACTCTCTCACACACATGCACACAAAACCGAGGTCAGCTTTCTCCCCTCGTGGTCCCTGGTTCTGTCTCAGCGTTGAGTTAGTCCGGGGATTGTGGGCCTTTCGGGCTCTCAGGAGGCCACTTGTGTCTCTGCTTAGACTGTGCGGGTCCCGGAGAGCTGAACTACTAAGCCAACCGTTTCCCACCTCCTGTGTGCCCCCAGGTAAAGTGGAGCTGCATGGGAAACTCGTAGAAGTTGAGCACTCGGTCCCCAAAAGGCAAAGGTAAGTTTGATTCATTATTGGGAGGAAAGACGGACTCCTTTGCTACACAGCTGAAAACACTTATTTTACTTTTATGCTTATCAGCCTACAGTGTGGTTTGCAGTTTCTAATCGTTCTCCCATACATTCAAGTTTAAGGCAGCTGTGTGTGTGAGTGTGTGTGAAATGCTGTGAGAAATAGAAGGACTGTCTGTGCCCTAGCAACTCGGTAGCTCTTCTTGAGTATAGCCTTCTCTAAGAAGCTCTCACAGCTAAATGCTATCCGGCAGAGTAGGTCAAGTTGCCACAGCAAGAGATGAAAGTATCCAGAGGGAGTGTTTTGTGAATCTGTGGGATTTAGCAAGCAATGGTTGACCCAACGCCTGTTGGTACGGGGTAGGCAAAAGCAGCTGCAAAAACGCGTGGGTGTGGCACGCCCACACTCTTCTCTGACCCAGTTGGCGAAGATAATACTGCCAGGCCTTCGGTGCCAGTAAGAGTGGAGGAATTGCTCCAGCTACAACTCTTAACTTGCTTTTAAATGTTATGTAAATTTGCCCTCACTTAATTGAACTAGCCCCTTCTTACAACAAATATATATCAATCACCTTCATTTGCTGCACGTGCAGCTTTTAAGTCATTGAAAAGGTTTCAGCTCTATCTTGCCTTAAAATAAGGCTGAATAAGAACCATATGCACCTGTTCTGACTTACTTGTAAGACTTAGAGACCCCAGAACTGGATTCTTTTGTAACCGGGCTACTACTGCCTCTAAGCTGTTAGCTCCCAGCAATATTGCAACACCTGAGTGAATGCCTGGGCTTCTTTCTCCACCCTAGAAGCGCCTTTCAGCCACTCCAAAGTTACACAGGTTTCGGTACACACCGCGTTTGCCTCCCTCTCCCTCTTTATTTAAAAGATACCTTTTGCTTACAAATCACCACCAAGTGATCAGAACACTAATGATTTGTGCTAGGGAAAAGCAGGAGGATTTCTCTTTTCTGAGAGCATGTGTAGTGTGTCGCTTTACAGAATGTTTGGAGACTGTTTTAGCCTCTGGAGTATTTTGGAGAAATGGCTTCGTTCTCCAGAGCAGCAGACAGCTGGGCACTGTAACTCTTAGCTGGAAAGGTACTGCTCCCTCCCAGTGGGCGGTTGGTCTGTGCTTTCCTGGGTTTTGCAAGATGGGGTTAGGGTTACTGCCTTTCCCCTCCCATACCCCACTCCCAACCCCTGGGGCCATACAATAAAGCCGAAGTTAATTTAAACCAGGGCTGTGAGTATCTGGTTAAGCATTGGTGGCAGAGTGTATGTGTGCTAGAGGGCAGGAGGCCTTTGCTAAGCATTTCACTGATGCCCTGCAGAGATAGATGCCTACCCAGCATGCCATCTGTGTGCTTCTGTTTCTAGATAGTGAGCTCTATTCCAGGAAAACCATTTTCACATCATGGATTTGGTGGACAGATAGTTTGGATTTTTGTGAATTTTCTCTTGCTCAAGTACTTAATGTTCATTAGAATCGTTGGGAGGGGATTTCCTGTGCCCTGAAAGATTTGGTTCTGGTTGGGAATTTTGAGAAAGTTCAAGATATTTCATATAGTAGCATGTTTTCTTTCTTTATAAGCTTCTAAAATAGAATGGTACTGAGAAATATCTAAACTGATCTCAGTGTAATAGGAATTGAAAAATTGAGGGAGAAGCCGTATCTCCCTAAAAAGGAATTTAGAAATGTAGTCTAGGGGAAAAAGAAAAGTATTCACATTCTGTAAATTCTAATTGGTTTCCTATTTAGCCAGCATATCTTAATTTTCTTCAAATGCTGAATAAAAAATGAGAGACTACAGCAAGTGGTTGTATTGGACTGGCACTGAGAGTTTCTAAATTTAAAGATGAAATATCTTGAGTTTTTCAGATAACAAATCACTGAGTGGAAAGCCTCATTTTCTTGCACAAACATGTCATTGTAGATTACTTTGTCTTGCCCACCTGCTTTTCCAAGTGGTGTGACATTCTCCCCAGGTGTATGTAATTAAATTTAAAACATTATTTGGTAATGCTTGTTTTATTCTTAAAGGTTTGTTGTTGTTGTTAAGTGCCTTCGAGTTGATTCCGACCCACAGCGACCCTGTATAGGGTTTCTGAGGAGCAGCTGGTGAGCTTGAACCACTGACCTTGCAGTTCAAACGGCTTTGCAGTCTGGTGCATTAACCCACAGCGCCACCCCAGGACTCCCTTAAAGGTTTACCTAGTCTAAAAAGATAAAACTTAGTTACTTATAATCCACAGGAGTTCATTATAAGGAAATCATATAGTATAAAAATTACCAGTGGCAGCAAGTGTTTATCATGAAGCTTCTTCAGCTCATTGACAATGTAGATGAAGATTTTCTAGCTGAGTCTTATTAGCGTCAAGATACTAAGGGTTTTAGATGAGTGATACAGGCAATCTCTGGGATTTATGGACATAGTACTTTGCCCTCACTTTGAAATGATTGAGGGAACCCCTATTCGCAACAAATTTTTCATCAAAGTCACCTTCAATTCCCGCATCTGCAGCTTTCAAATAATTGAAAAAGGTGTTGAGCCTTTTCTTGCACAAACCCACCCACTGCCATGTCAATTCTGACTCAGTGACCCTGTCCTAGACTGTAAATCTTTATGGGAGTGGAAAGCCTCATTTTCCCCCTACAGAGCAGTTGGTGGGTTTGAACTGCTAACTTTGTAGTTAGTAGCCCAGTGCTCATTCTGCCATGCCACCAGGGCTTCTTGTACTAACAGAAGGTTAAGTAGATACCTGATTTGACTTACCTACACATTCTTGGAAGCAGGAACTGATCACGTTTATAACCTGGTTGTTGTTATTGTTTTTATGTGCCATGGAGTCGCTTCCGACTCATAGTGACCCTGCATAGGGTTTCCGAGGCTGTAAATCTTTACAGGAGCAGAACGCCTCATCTTTCTCCCATGGAACAGCTGGTAGTTTCGAACTGCTGACCCTGAGGTTAGCAGCCTGATTCGTAACCACTATGCTACCAGAACTCCTTTTATAACCTGGAGACAACATATGTTAATTAATGGAGTCCTGGTATGGCGCTGTGGGTTAATGCACCAGACTGCAAAGCTGTTTGAAGTGCAAAGTTGGCAGTTCAAGCTCACCAGCTGCTCCTCGGAAACCCTATACAGTGTCACTATTGGTTGGAACCAACTCGACAGTACTTAATAACAACAACAGTGAAGTAAACAGACGTGTGTACATTAGGAACAACTTTTTATCTGTTATAGAGAAGAAGTAAATTGTTTGCTGCCGTTGAAATGACTAAAAAGCAAAAGTAGAACTATCTTTCTCTGTCCAGGGAAACTTACTGGTTTTGTTTTAACTGAACCTGGGGGCTGTTCCACTTCTGCTGAGGCTCTGGAAAGGGAGAGAAGGCACTCTGGTGATTCCCATGCCCAGCATCTATTGGAAGGTCAAGAGGTGGTAATGGGGAGAGTTGCCCTAACAGTGCCTTGAATGCTGCAGAGCAGTCCTTGCCAACTGAGTCTGCTGGACACTGGTGTGGATTTCTTTGTTTACCAGTCATTGCATTCCATCCCATCCTCATGTGGGCAGTGGAGGCAGGTATACTCACATGTGCAACAGTGATCTTTATACTTGCTGTGCAAGGCATGTTGGGAACTTGGTGCTGGAGAATGCTTATGGCAGCATTAGGAGATGGATGAATGGGTTTGCAGGGACTAAACAGGGGAGCAGCCCCAGAAGGTGATTAGATGCTTGGCAGGCTGGTCTAGCTTTGACTGCGAGCTGAGCTGGGCGGGGACCCTCTCAGGAAGGGGTATTGTTGAGTTTGGTTCTCAGCAAGCTTGGCTCCTGATTACTGAAGTCTCAAGGGAATGTGGAAGGAATGTTGCTTTTCTGCATTCAGATACCCCTTAGCTGGGGAGGATTTTAGTAGTACTCTGCAGAACTGCAGGTCCACTGCAACCAGAATGAAGAGAAAATTGCATTGGGTAGCTTCAGTCTTGTACTTTATATTCTGAATGTTAAAGGTGTAGCACATGAAAACCTGGCTTCACTCTGAGGTATAGGCTTAAAAATAATTCCCCTTTGGAGTTAAGAGTGGATGTGGAAATAGTTGTGACTTTGAAAAACTAGCTGAGTTTGGTTGGAGAAGCCACTGATATATTAAGGGGCCTTGTGTGTGCCCCTATGTGGTTATGTAGCTAGTGCTGATGATTTTGTTGTTGTTATGTTGTGGGCTGTTGGGCATGGGAGACGGAACAAGAAAGTTGCTGATATTGCAGAACTAAGAGGACGGTGGTTTAGTTCATTCTCCAGGACTTTTTTATATGATAAAATCATTTTTATCATACTTTGTTCTGTTTTTTTTTTTCTCCCCAGTGTTGGTATTTTACTTAAATTTCTTCAAGACTTAGCTGTTAGACTTCATTAGGATTATATGTAGCCAAAAATACGTTTGAAGGAGAAAAACTGGTTATTATAGTCATTAATTTTTTTCCCTCAAGAATGATCCCTTAAAACAGATTGGTGCCTAAGCCTGAATGTCCTTGTGTTTTGCTTCCTATTTAAAACAAAAACCAAAAAAAACTAAGAATGTATTTATATATTTGATATGTAAATTGTGTAGGGTGAGCCATGTATAAAAGTCACTGGGGTTGTAAATGTATCTTATTTTAAGTGATGATTTAAAGGCTCAAAGGAGCCCTGTTGGCACAGTGGTTAAGCACTGGACTGCCAACTGGTGAGTCAGCAGATATACAGGAGATAGGTATGACAGTTGGCTTCCCTAAAGATTGGCAGTTTTGGAAGCCTGTGGGGCAAGTCCTCGACGGTTGCTGAGTTGGAATCGACTCAGTGTTTGGTTTGAGGTTTATTTAAAGGCTAATGTTGCTCTGGTAGCGTAGTGGTTATGAATCTTAAGGTCAGCGGTTCGAAACTACCAGTTGCTCCGCGGGAGAAAGATGAGGCTTTCTACTCCCATAAAGATTTACACCCTCGGAAACCC